TCGCAGAAGGGCCTCCTGCTCTACCAGATGGATTCGTTCCAGATAACGAGGTATTTGCTGCTCAGGCGCCTGCAGACGGGGTTTCGGGCGCAGAAATCGCTTTATTTTGCACTTGAAGGGTGGGTGGGAGATGGGGCTGTGCTTGGTAACTTGCGGCCACGATCTGCGGGGTTCAGGTTTCGAAACAGCCTTCTCCATCCTGAAGCTGGCTTGAATTTGGCAGGCAAAAAGTTTGGGGGGGAATTGTGTGGGTTTATAAGTAGGGGAGGCAAAAGACTAGCACTGATTATCTAAACTATTGTCTTAAACTTTTTTGGCTTATTAAAGTACTTTATGGTCACTTAGACATAAATCACAAGCTTCAGAAAAACCTTCTCGCCACATCCTGGTGGGGTGGTTCCCGTCTTTGAGGCAGAAAATATATCGGAAGAACCCTGTAAAACAAATTAAGCGCAAATAATTCCTGTCCTGTGCCGTCGCTGCTTTCTGTAGCTTTTTAAGCGAGCAGCAAGGTGCTGAGGCTCTAAACGTGCACGGGAAGGTGCTCAAATTCTCTCTGGCGTTTGGGGATTTGCTTTCCCGTGCTGTGCTAGCGGCTTTTGCCTGGAGAGACCTCAGTGGTGGCGTTCCCACAGCCGAGCGCTGATTTACTGCCATCTGGATTAAGGGAAATCTTGCTAAGGAGACATCAGAAGTTAGTCAGCGCCGAAAATCCCGGTTCGGTAGCAATTACTCATCCTTTGGGCTGTGCCACCCATTTGAGAAATGCACGTGGAGGGGCTTGGAGAGATCCTTTTGCATGCGGGGGTCCGTGAGAGCACGGGCTGGGGCACCTGGTGTGGATCTTAGCGAGGAAGAAGAGCCATTGGGTTCTTGCCGTTGTACATCTGTTGTCTGAAATTCGCCGCTTTGGTGTCAACGTGTCCTCGGCGGTGGGACCCTGATTGTACGTGCGGAGTCTCTGGTCGGTAACCCCATAAATCTTCCCCTTGCTCAAATCTTGAAGCCGTCGGCAGCTCCAGGTCTGCACCGGGGCGATGCCCGGGCGCTGCCGGTGCTTCCCAGCACGGGGCCGGGCTCTGCGTTCGGCAGCGGTGGGGTTAAGGAGCGCGGCCGCCTGGGAGATGAGGGAAGCAGAAAGCGAGGGGGTGCTTTGGGAAGCGTTTCTGGGATTGAGGAGGAGGTGTGGCGGAGCAGATGTCCTTCTGATCGCCAAAATGTCTGTCCAGCCGCTTCGCCTGGGCAGGACACCTCGCTCTGCGCCTTTCCCTGCCCAGCAAAGGGTGTACGCTAAATATTTGTTTCAAAGCTGAGTCACAGTGAGGTTAATGAACTAAATCGCTGGAATCTTTCATGAGCAAAGAAAAACAAGCGTGTTTGACATGCTCACTCCTCAGGCCATTAGCGTGATTACCTTTGCAGCGATCCTTGTGCAGCATCGTGCTCTCGGGCCGTGCCGATTCACGTGTTGCAGGTGCCCCTGGTCTGGTGGCCGGGCTTTCTGCAGGACTCCTTCCCTGCCCGGCTGGTTTGAAGCCCTGGAGTTTGTTTTTGCAGCGTGCGGAGGGCTCGGACCCAGCCCGGCATGCCAGTCTTATCAGCCTGGTCCTTTTGTGGGTTTGGCTGCTCTAAGAGCCAGCTCCATATACAAACAGTAAGAGGAGAAGCGGCCAGGGAATCGGGGATTTCATGTCACCATTTATTTCTTATAACCGTGGCATAATACTCCCTGAGCAAACAGCTCTGGACAATGTCTGCCAGCACACCCTTCGCTTCGTGTCCTGGAGCGATACCTCCCTGCCCTCGAGTAGCTGAGCTCCAACAGGAAGGAATAGCTTTTTCTTTGAAAATGGGGCAAAGAAAGTCAAGGCAGCCCCCCTTGCTCAGGCTGGGAACTTTCTGCGTGTGTGTTTGGGGTTTTTTGCCCGTCTCGTGTTCCTTCGGAGGCAAAGCAATTGCTGGGTCTGGAGAGCTGTGCCAGCCACGAGCCGCTGCTCTGCTAGGAGAGATCTTGCATCCGAGTGGGAATTTTTCGATGCCGTCAATGTCCGTCTATTCTCGGGCACGTGAGGAGCAGGCACGCTTGAGAAAGCAGGCAGCTGGCTGCGGTCCCCTCCGCTTTCCAAAGAGGAGCGGTTGCGACAGGGCCGTGGGCTCGGATCCTGCCCAGCGCTGGGTGCGGGCTGACCTGTGCTCTGGATGGGCTCGTGGTCCAAGGGACCGGAGTAAGCGATGAAGGACTCCGCTCCCTGGTTTTGGGACTTGTGCTCTTCGCTGCGGGGAAGCAGCAGCCTTGTCCCTCGGGACCGGGCGGTGCGGCCGCCCCAGCAGTGCCGGAGAGGAACCGTGCACAGGCAGCCGCCTCAGCGGGTGCTCACAGCAGATCCACAGCTCTGATAAAGAGCTCTTATCTCCTTCACAGAAACAGGATTTTCCCTGCTGCCTCCCTTTACAATGGAGAGCTTCATTCGCTCTCCTCCCCCTTCCCTATCAAATCTTTTTTGGTTTAAAACGCTTTTCCCCACAGGATTCCCAGGCAGGACCATGCCAAATATGCGGTGCGGTAAATGACTAGCACATTAATTGCCTATTGCCTTTGTCTTTCGAAATACAGCTAGCTTCTCGGTGTCTGTAATTTCGTGGTTAACAAAACTTATGTGATGTCAGGTCTCTGTTCTCAATAGCATCACTGTGAGAATTGCTTTGGGTTTTTCCCTAGGAGCAGTATTTCCCAATCCGGTGGCTGACGAGAGCCAACGCTCTCATTTCTTCCTCGATTCGCTCTCTCCACCTCACTTCAGTGCTTGGAAAAAGGGGATTTACCCATTTAAAAGCAGATGTGGATGCATATAGATCCTGAGCTGTGCTCCACACCAGCGAATGCCTGCGACATCTGTGTTACCGGGTCAAGGCAAGGGAGGGGTTTAGACAAACTTGCACGACTCTCATAAAATCAGTGCGAGTAGCTACTGCAGCTCCTCTAGCGAAGAAAGCCTGTTGTATCTATTGAATGGTGGAGGGGCTGTAAAAGCAGCTCGCGGGTTATAAATACCTCTTCTCTCCCACCCTTCCCATCCCCAGCTGTTCCAGAAGGAGCAAGTGGATCCTCTCCAGCTAAAACTACAGCAAGTCAATGGAGTTGGTCAAGGACTCATCCAAAGCGCCGGGAAAAACTGTGACGTCCAAGGGCTGGAGCATGACATGGAAGAAATCAACACCCGCTGGAACACCCTCAACAAGAAGGTGTGAGCGTGGGGAGGGGCTGTAACTGGTTTCCCTCGGCCCCGTTGGGGTCTGGTAGAAGAAGGGCGTCATCGACAGCGAGCTCCGGTGTCGATGCGTCACCAGCCTGACCGTGCAATGGGGTTGTGTTTGGGGTGCAGGTGGCCCAAAGAATTGCTCAGCTGCAGGAGGCCCTGTTGCACTGCGGGAAGTTTCAGGATGCCCTGGAGCCGTTGCTGAGCTGGCTGGCGGACACCGAGGAGCTCATCTCCAACCAGAAACCTCCCTCTGCGGAGTACAAGGTGGTGAAAGCCCAGATCCAGGAGCAGAAGGTGAGCAAGCACAGGGCAACGATCGGCTCGATGGGAGGGGGAAGCTCTGGACAGACAGACAGCATTTTGGGGGTCCAGCTGTAACAGATAAGGTGTAGCTGGGATGTCCACAAGCCTGCTTCTTCCACGGTGGATCTTCTGGTTCCCCACATCCTGATGTAACGAGCAGGCAGCTCGTTTGCCCACGCTCGCTATCTCCATCGTCTAAATCACCAGCGTTACTTTATTGTCCCGCTGCCTCTTGAAGTTTGCTGCTGGTTTTGCTGGTCGGCCGTGTTTTTCCAGCCCTAAGTTTTGTTTGTGCTGGTAACTCTGCTGCGTCAGGAGCAAGCTGGTGTTGTAGGTACCGGTTTGGGTATTTGGACAAAATGAATGTACAAACTGTAAGAACCGACCCGAGGCATGCCAGTGTTTGCAGAGATAACAGCCTGGGTCGGCGCCCGCCCTTGTGAGCAGGCGGATGAAAGTTCAAGTGTGGTCGTGGTAAAACGTTTCAGAAATGAATTCTTACCGAGGCTTGGTCTGACATATTGAGACTTTGAAGAGGAAATTTATTTAAAGTGAAAGTTAAGAACTTGATCTTGATAAGTTGGGAGGGGGGCGGTGGGGAAGCCTCTGAAAAATTCTCTGGCACAGAAGTGCTTTGAATCTCTTTTAGAACAGAATAGAATATTTCAGTTGGAAGGGACGTACATGATCATCTAAGCCCAACTGCCTGACCACTTCAGGGCTGACCAAAAGTTAAAGCATATTATTATATTCTTATTATTTTTTTTAACTGGTTTTGATGGCAGAGGCTGTCCCGCTGGGCTGGCTTTGGTCTCAGCCTGGCACAGAAGTGCTTTGAATCTCTTTTAGAACAGAATAGAATATTTCAGTTGGAAGGGACGTACATGATCATCTAAGCCCAACTGCCTGACCACTTCAGGGCTGACCAAAAGTTAAAGCATATTATTATATTCTTATTATTTTTTTTAACTGGTTTTGATGGCAGAGGCTGTCCCGCTGGGCTGGCTTTGGTCTCAGCCCCGTGCTTACGGTGGTTTTCAGCCACAATTAGAGATTTGCTATCTCTGAGGCCTAGAAGAGGTTCTGCTGATCCAATCTGGTAACTTTTATCCTTCTTTGTTTCACTGGTGATGCTAAAGCTGCTTCAGCGACTCCTGGACGATCGCAAAGCCACCGTTGAGATGATCCAAGCGGAGGGAGGGAGGATCGCGCAGTCGGCCGAGCCCGCGGACCGGGAGAAGATCGTCGGCCAGCTGGAGAGCCTGGAGCGCCGCTGGGCAGGGCTGCTGGGCAGAGCGGCCGGCAGGTGAGAGGGTCTGCGCTGCCGGCCAAAAACACGGGGCCAGCTCGTCCTGCAATTCACGGTGCCCTGGAGCTTGGGGTTACAACATGCGGGAAGCTGGCGGAGATTTCTGTGCAGATACATCCTGGAAACATGGAAACAGCTGGAAAACATGAGAAATCAAAGCCTGTTTGGGGAGCTGAAGTTGATAGCGGTGGTTTACAATGGCAGGGAAGAGCTCAGATTAAATAAATTCCCTGCAGGGGATGGATGTTATTTTTATTCCTTTAAGCGTTAGCATTTAGCTTTAGCAGCAGCATCCTGTTGACACCTTTCTGCTGCCTGAATCTCGTTTATGAGTTGCTTGTTGCTACATAAGCTAATATTTGAGGTTACAAAGTCACTTCCAAAGGCCAGGTTTGACCTCCCAGTGTTTTAAATCACTGCCAACTAGATGGACTGTCCATCTAGGACTTGTACCGGTGCCGGGCTGTCTTTGAACAGAAGCTCAGCAGCTCTTAAACACCAAGAGCCCGGCCACAAGCTGAGCACGTCGGAGGATCTCTGAGATAATGTTAGGAAGGGAAGAAAAGCAGCACAACGGGGGGGCCTTTCTGCTGCCTTCCCCGGAGGGTGAACCGGACCCTAAAGGCACAGCTGCAGGAAAAAGCTTATTTTGCAATTGCCCTTGCACCGAACAGGGCTGCTTCAGTTCCTTCTTCCCATGGCTCGGAGCTGCTTCCCATACCTGGCTCCGACGGGGAGCTGCTCCTTAGCGGTTTGTCATGTCCTTGCTATAGGCAGAAGCAGCTGGAGGACATCTTGGTCCTGGCAAAGCAGTTCCACGAAACCACGGAGCCCGTGTCGGACTGGCTGTCGGTGACGGAGAAGAAACTGGCCAACTCGGAGCCCATCGGTACCCAGACTGCCAAAATCCAGCAGCAGATCAGTCGGCACAAGGTAGGACCCGTGCATGAACGGGAGCTGCCGATGGAGGTGGTCGGTATTGGGTCCCACTCAGGTGGGAGTTTCTGCCGTGGCGAGGGGGGGGTTGGCACGAATGAGTACTGGAGGAGTTACCCAGGCTGCTTTCTGTACAGAGAAGGCTGCAAACCCTAACCCACCAGCGTGGGTAAATATTAGACTGACGTCTTTGCACCTCGCAGCGATTGCATCTGGCTCTGGATAGAAAAACCATTCCTGTTCTTGTGTTTCTTTTAAACCTTTTTTATTTTGACACAGTTTGCCCATTCACGGGTGGGTTTCATGTCTCCTTCGTTCCTTCAGTTGCATTCATTGTTTCTGTTTCCCCCTTTATGTTTGTTTGTTTCTTTTTTAATCCATTTTTTTCACTCATTTTCCTTTCTGTTGTCCATTTTATCCTCCCGGCATTCAGGCTCTAGAGGAAGAGATAGAGAGCCACGCGGCCGACGTGTCTCGGGTGGTCAGTGTCGGGCAGTCCCTCTCCTCCCTGAGCTGTGCCGCTGAGCGGAGGCTGCTAGCAGAGAAGCTAGACTCTCTGCAGACCCGCTACGGCGAGGTCCATGACCGGTGCTGCCGGAAGGCAGCGCTGCTGGATCAGGCGCTGTCTAATGCCAGGCTCTTTGGGGAGGAGGAGGTGGAAGTGCTCAACTGGCTGGCTGAGGTCGAGGACAAGCTCGGCTCGGTATCCGTAAAGGATTACAAACGGGACGTCCTGCAGAAGCAGCATGCCGACCAGCTGGTATTTTCCATTTTCTTCCATGTTTATGTTGTTTATTTTGTTGCATTTATCTGGTTTTATTTTGGTTTCTGGTCTGACTTTAATTTTGCCAAGCTTGTTCCACTGCTGGTTCTCTTCTAGGCTTGGAGAAGTGTAAAGAGATTTCATGTGTTAAAAAACAATAATTGTGGCCCCAAAAATGGGTTTCCCGGGGGAGAAACTTCAAATGATTCATTTGCTTTGTGAACAACGTCTGAGCAAGCTTGGCCACCCCATGCCTTTAGAAAGCTGGATGCTGTTTCCAAGAATGAAAGCTTGAAAAGCCTGGTGGGTTTTCTGAGCCAGGCTGGCCACCGAGGAAGCCGTCTGCTTCCACTCCCCGGGGGCCCTGCAAGCTCTTTTCAAGAGTGAGGTTATGTCTGATAGGACAGCGAGTGCTTCAGTAACACGTATCCAATGGGTTGGGATGGGTTTGCTCTAAGATTTGAGTCTTTGGGTCCCAGAAGTCCCAGTAAGTCCCGTAGCAGGAGAAGGTTGACCGGACAAGTATCAGATCTTTTGTTGTCCACCCTTCCCATGCTCGGTAGGAGCAGTCTGTGCTCTGCTTAGCATCTCTGGCCAGCACTGGCCGGCGGGACTCGGGGACCTGCCCGCAGAAGGATAACCCCAATTTGCCTTTCTCTCCAGGCTTTGAACGAGGAAATTGTGAACAGGAAGAAGAATGTGGACCAAGCCATTAGAAACGGGCAAGCTCTTCTGAAGCAAACCACAGGTAACACGAAGAGCTGGGCGCGCTCTGGCCCATGCGGGGGGTCTGGGAAGCCCCCGTCCTCCTCATGGTCTTCCCTGGGAAGTCCACGCTCTGCAGTGGTACGTTCTTCGGGGAAGGCTGTTCTTCCTCAGGTCTAATTTCCTTTCGGATACTCCCAAAGTAGCTGTTTTGCATCCAGACCTGGATGCCGAGCCACAGGCACTCCAACTTAGTAAATCCCGAGTACCAACCTCGCGTCTTCGTGAGCGGGTGATTCCCACCGCCAGCGTGGTGATGCTCAGCGCTGAGCAGCCCTGCAACGCGAGAGAGGGTTTTCTCATTGTATCCAGCTGCTAAATCACATGGAAAGAGGTTAAAAATACACCCAGCCCTTTCCTAATATTGCTTTCCCATACCGAGCAGTTGTTGCTGTTGCCACGTGGGTGTGAGTTTATGTTTATGAGTGGGAAGAAAGGTCGGGGCGATGCATTTCCTTCAGATGTGGTCTGCTCGGAGCAGATGTACGGCCCTCTGTCCTTGTGGGAGCCGTGTAGCAGGAAGAGTGATTACAAAGAATTTGGCTTGCAGTTTCTTGTCCTCTCGGAAATAGCTGTAAACAGTGAACTGGACCTTTTCTCTTGGAGCTGCGACACGTTAGTTGAGAAGTGAGCTGTGGCGGCTTTGGGGCTTGTGGCAAAGCCAGGCTTCGCAGCACGCTTGCGTCCCATTCCAGAGAGGAGGTGGAACGTGATGCTGGCTGGTAGAAAACGTCAGCTGTAAGGGTAGCTTCCTGGCTGTAAAAATAGGCTGCGAAGTCGCACTGATATAAAGAAAAGTGAGACTGAAATTAGCTATTTCAAACAGGGGGAACAGGGCAGGTGGCTCCTGCAGCCCCCCCCCCAGCCCAGCCTCATTTGCCCCTTGCTGCTGTCTCGCAGGGGAGGAGGTCTTGCTGATCCAGGAGAAGCTGGATGGAATTAAGACCCGCTACTCGGACATCACCGCTGCCAGCTCCAAGGCGCTGCGCACGCTGGAGCAGGCTCGGCAGCTGGCCACCAAGTTCCAGTCCACGCACGAGGAGCTCACCGGCTGGATGAGCAAAGTGGAGGACGAGCTGGCTTCCAGCGGGGGACAGTCCCCCGCCGGCGAGCAGATCCCCCAGTTCCAGCAGAGGCAAAAGGTGGGGGGCTGGCAGAGCAGCACCCGGGGGTCGGCGACGCGAGGGTGGGAGCCGGCGGGGGTTTGCTCGCTGTTTTGAGAGGCTGGGGAGGAGCTGGAGAGGGATGGCACCTGCAGAGCACTGAGAAGGACGTGTGTCCGTGGGTGCCTTCCACAGGAGCTGAAGAAGGAGGTGATGGAGCACCGGCTCCTCCG